CACCCCCCACCCCCTCCTTTTTTTTTACAGCATCATATTAAAGAAAACCTGTCCCTACTTTTGCATGAGGATCTTCCTCCACCAATGCAATCGGGATAACAATTGAGTTCACTGTTGTTGAGAGGGGGTCTGCAAATGTGGTGTAGTGTCACAGATTGTACATAACAAGATAGTTCACTCCTCTCTTTGAGCCATTTTAAAAAGTGTCCTCAAAATCCGGTGGCGCCCTCTTTTTAAAAAAGCGCGGACTTTACGAGCAGAGTTATCCTACTTGTGTGAGAAACAATCAAAGGGAAACTAACAAAGTGTACTTATTCCTATTCTTCTTCTGGGGAAAGAAAGAAAAGAGAGCTTCAAAACAAAGACTGCAGCGCCATCTGAAGCAATGCGCGGACTTCTGCGGACATTTTTTTTTTTTGGCCGAGTGAACAATCTTGTTATGTACGATCTTTGGTACTGTGTTTATTCACGTATTGCTAATGTATTCGATGCCGCGTCGACACCCATCCATTGTCCATTCGTTGTTTACTTCAACAATGAATGCCGCCCAAACACGTTGAGATCGTGTAACCTAATTCAAACAATTGTGAGCAGGCATCGTGATGAAAGCAGGCGCTCGTCAAAATAAAGATATCATTGAAACAAGCATTTTTCTCGTCAGTTTAGCAATTTTTAAAATCGAATTTTTTTTCTTTGGCTCAACACCTTTTATATCCATTATAAGAACACATTTCCATGTGGATTGTATTGGGAAAAAAAGGTTGATTAAAGGTACACAATAAGTAATTTTTCAGTTTTTAAGGACTCTCAATTTATTGAAATTACTAAACTTTGAAGGCCAGTTTCTCCATTTTTTAACCTCTGAAACCAGGCGACCCTCATCTCCTTTAATCTCAAACATCTCAACTTCTATTCAAGATGCGAGGATCATTTTATCATCAAAAGCAATACAAATAAACAAGCTTTAAGTTGATACCGACAACTCCACAAGTCCAAAAAGTGTAAAGCACTTGATTCCACCCTATCGTGGCCCAAATCTTATTGAGTTCGAGGCAAAGCAAATTTTTCTAAAAAGAAAAAAAAAGCCAGGTGTGTAGCATTGAACGTTTGTCAACTTCATTAACTAACTTGTATAATAATATGATGCCGGCAATAACTAGAATCGTTCTTTCGCCTAGTTACTGCCTGGCGGAATAAATGTACCTATTTAACTGCTTCAAAGGGGATTGATGGTATCGTAATCTGGTCCAGAAAGGACGCACTCGGAAAAAAAGGGGGGGGTGTGTGTCCGGGGGTG